TACTGTTTTCCCCAAAGAAAAACTCTTGTTCTTTGAACATCAGTCTCTTTATTGCTTGTACTGCAGGGTGGGAAGGAGGAATTAAAAGATAAACACAGGAAATGAAGGGGAAAGAGAGCTACAAAAAGAGGAGAGCCACAAAAAAAGAGGCTTTTGATAAAACTGTCCTTCAAGGCCTCTTTGGTTTGCGCTGCCCCTTGTACTGTTTTCCCCAAAGAAAAACTCTTGTTCTTTGAACATCAGTCTCTTTATTGCTTGTACTGCAGGGTGGGAAGGAGGAATTAAAAGATAAACACAGGAAATGAAGGGGAAAGAGAGCTACAAAAAGAGGAGAGCCACAAAAAAAGAGGCTTTTGATAAAACTGTCCTTCAAGGCCTCTTTGGTTTGCGCTGCCCCTTGCTGTGCTCTCCTTATTATGCTGGTGTCCAGCTGCTCAAAGTCTCTGGCTAGGCACTCTGCCTCAGCACCTCACCCTGCCAAGTAAGTTTCCCCCTCGGTCTTGCACAAATTATGGAGCACACAACAGGTTGCCATCATAAAGGGAATGTTGTGTTCGCGGAGGTCCAGGCGAGTCAGGAGACTCCTAAGCTTCCCTTTAAACGTTCAAATGCACAGTCAACCACCATTCTGCACTGTAGCCACTACTATTTGTCCCATGTCTGCATCACATTATGGTTCCACCAATCTGAGCTTGTCTCACAGCGCCAGAAATGGCAGTCTGCTGTGTCCAGAGGATTGATTGATGGCTGCGCTAACACCAGTAACAGGCCTTGCCTGAGCAGCACCTCCATGCCATGCCGAGCTTCATCCATGTCCTCTTCCTGGAGGAGCAACATGTGGATGCTTCCCAAGCAGTGAGCAATTAGGCACACCATGACACACATCACAATCACAATAGCTTGCTACAAACCGGGCTCCATGATTGCACTGTGATGGTATCTGTGCAGGTGACCAGAGCATGAAAAGGAATGAGCACACTGCCTCCCCTTTATCTCACACAAGGAGGCAGGGACTCGATGAGTGCTTTGTGGGTCAATGGCGACATGAGCCCCTCTAACCACCCACTGCATAGTTTTAGTCTCAGCAGGCACAGCAAGAATAGTCCACTATACAAAGCTGCCCACGGTGGATTACTCAGAGTCAACAGTAGGCTCCTTAATAGGGATGTGCTACTTCAGACTACATTTGTTTCTTCCCCGCAGCGAGGACATGGGTCTTTGACTTCACAAAATCAGGTGGCATGAAATTGACCATAATATATTTAAACTATCTCTTAGGTTTATATAGAGCTCAGAGCATGTCTGTGCTAAGTTATCTATAATTAACCAATTGTGATACTTGTAGGAATTAGTGCACAAAACCCTTTCAGATACAGATATAAGTGCACCTAAAGCTGAACACTTTGGAAACCCCAATAATAGATCATCTTAAGACAAATCAGAGAAGCTCATTAGCCAGAGAAAAGAACCAAAGATATTACCCAAACTAGTAGAAAACTACTAGGCACCAGAATAATATTCTATGAAAGGTCTACAGGATAACCAAGATGTAGTTACTTTCAAATTAAGATACTACTTGCAAAAGTCTGTAACAATTCAAATGTAATTTTACAAAAATAGTAAAAATCACTGTTAAAGCTTTAGAAAAAAGGTTCAGATAACCCATGTTTATCAAAAATCTTCAATGTCAGCAATCCAACTGATTTAAAATATTCACTTAAAATACTGTGCTGAAAATATTACACAAGTAGAATGAAGGGCTGCAGAGGCTCCTTTCTTTTAAAACAAAAAAGTGAATGAGAAGAACACAATGGATTTGCTAATGTTGGTGAACACGAACAACACTGAAGAAGTGAAATGTCAACAGTTTTTAATCGCTGATCGAATAATCTTAAATTTGAAACAGCAGTGTACAACATGTGTACTTTACAACATATAACTTAGCAAACTGTACAGCAATCCTCTAATAGAGTAAATTAGGACAAGGAACAACACTATGACCTGAAAGGAACAAGGCTTCAATTTATTATATGACCATTCTAGATAATGCAAATGCTCAAAAACGAGCTGATTTAATCTGCATTGTTAAATGAGACAAATTTGTTCATTTTTCCAGACTGCCTCAATTTTCCATTTCCTCCTCCCCCCCCGCAAAAAATCTAATCTTAGATTAGTCTAAGGACCATATTTTGAACTTAATTTTGCAACCAACCAATGACTTAGGATTTACTATAAATAAAAATGCCAGGTATGGTAGAAGGAAAATGGCTTGATTTAAACAGTAGCAACAGTTTTCTCTCTAGAAATCAAGATCTGATTTATCAAGTAAATCTCCTGCATTACTTTTTTTTTAAAAAAAACACCAGTTACCCAGTCTCTGCCTTCATACACACATTCCAGGGATTCAAAGAACTTGGGGGGGGGGTAACCCCTTAGTTGTCACTTCTATACTTCAAGAAATGGGCATGCAGAGGGTTAATAATAAAGGCAAACACCTGTTCTTGTAGCAGAGGAAAGTACTATAGAAGAAGCAGCATATTTTCTCCCCTTTCTCCATCTAACAAAAATGCTTGCTAAATACTCAAATTCAATCTGAAGGATTTAGACATACGGCTTTTTAAAAATTGAGCAATGGGTATAAATGCAAACTTTAAAACACCCATGTGAACTTATGTTTTTAGTGCCTAAACATGCTGAGTTATCACAATAATGTTAAAATTTTTAAAACAGTATATCGTGTAAAGTTAAAAAGTTAAACCAAATTAGTCTTACATTCAGACATCAACAAAAAGGAACACAGACCATTAATTGTTTATCTAAGAAATGTGTCCCTGAAATCCAATATATAGCAGCTAAAACAACCAGATCTTTGTGGGAGTAATGATGCAACACCACCTGTATCAGTGAATACAGTTGCTTGAAAATATAACTGAAATATCTTAAGGAAGAAAGGATGAGATGCTGGCTTTTGGGCTAGTGACTGCAACTAGAATTCAAGAGGCCTGGACACTAATCCTAGATGTGCCTATGAACTACTTTGTAACCTTGGATAAGATTAACTTTTCTGTACCTCTGCATTTCTTATATCTACAATGGGAAAAAATACATACCCTATTCTTACCTAATAACTTAATCAATTAAAAAGTACAGTACTGATCACAACCCCTCTTAGAGATTGAGATAAATAGCATTTTATAACCCTTCCTATATAACACAACTAGAGCTTCTGATTTTTGGGTTTATTAGTTTGGGAGGGATATTTTAGAAAATTGAGATTTATGTAGGTGCCCAAATATTGGGCAGAAAAAGAGGATTACGGCTCTGTTTTTGTGTGTGTGTACACACACACACACACACACACACACACACACACACACACACACACACACACACACACACACACACCTCATTATGATATATACTACTGTAATCTCATTGTAATGTTCCCTAGTGCACTTTAACATAATACAGTTTCAAACAGTTAATTTAAATCACACGAGGGAATTGTTTATACACACCAGCAGGGCCTACACAGATCAGCTAATGCACAACACTCTAGTGTAGTTCAGAAATCACAACCCCACTATGCATTACCATTCGTCATGGACAAGATACAAGTAACCATATTATGTTATTCTGGTCTTAAAGCAACTGTTTCTTTTGGACAAGAGGTGTTTTGTGTGGGCTTATCAGATAAAATGAAAAATCTGAAGTCCTACTTATAACTAATATGAAACCACTGTTGCTAATTCTAACCTTGATTCTAATGTGAATCCAGCAGCATGAATCCTTCTGGAAAACCAAGATAGGTTTCTCACTTTTTTTGTACTGCACAATCATATGGTACAGAGTTGCTGTGCCAGTCTTATTTTACTTATATAATACTTAACCATATGCTTGAGAGTTATACTTGATTGAAGACTGAGCCGAAAATGACATGTTGAAATAAAACTACTGCATTCTGAGGTGCCTACCTGGCCAAAGCAGGGACTGGTACGCCTCGTGCTCGAATTGGTGGTTTTCCGCGAACAACTGGAACGTCTGCATTTTCTGAGCCACCATTCAGATATGTTAATTCTTGGAGCTGTGCCTGTCTGATTTCATCATTGTAGTCCTAGACAGAAGGGCGGAGTGGAAAGCTATTTAACCAACACAGAAAAACATAACAAAAAATGCTTCTAAAAAGACTTTTATAGTATTCCAGATTAATTTTTTTAATGAAAAAGCTTTAGAAACAATAATAAAGTAAAATGTGGCAATGGAACTCCAATTTACCCCAAAATATTATTAGAGCATTCAAATAAAACATGATGTTGAGGGGTCCCCCCCTTAAATCCTCTTTTCCTTTCTGAGGCTGCCCATTATCCTCAGCATATTCTCCATTTTAAAAAGTACTAAAAGGAGGAGAGGCTTTATTAAAATAGACTAGCAAAAAAAATCAGTACTTAAAACACTACACATGCCTCTTAATTTAGAAAGAATATCAGGTGAGATCTGATAGTGGAATCACATCCCACTGCAAAGTAGTGAAAATCCCATTACTTCATTTCAGCTTGTCAGATCTGATGAAGCTGCAGCCCAAGGCATTTTGACTGCAGGCCCATGTACCACAGGGAGAAATTGTGAGCTGATAGAAGGTAGATTAAATGACCTGCCCAACAGCTCATTTCCATCGTTAAGTTCTGATTCTATGAATTTCTTCCATATATATGAGTAATTTTATCCAAATAATAAACATAGTGGAGTGCTGAAAATATTTCCAATTGAAAAAAAAAACCTAAAAATAGACTTGCATAAGTAAACTGAGGATTCACTGGATTTATTTGGTCTTTGATAGAGCTGCTTGTAGGAAGACTGCAGAATTCATAACAAAGTTATCTGCACTGCGTTAATAGAATACTTCTTGAACACATGCAGACCTTGAAATATTATAAGCTATCCTCCAAATTGAGTAAGTTATACAGGAACAAAACAGATGTTGTGAGCTAAAAGTACACCCAGATCTGAATTTATCAAATTCTGTTTAGTATAAATGAGCCAAGGATTGTAGTTTTAGTGTAAAAAAAACCCAAAACAAGAAAAAAGTTAGTATTCAAACCAGACTTTTTAATGTGCTCCACCATGTACCGATAATAAATTCTAGTTCTCACATCATTTCACTCATTTAGTTCAAGAAACAAGTATATTGTGTCTATTCCTTTTCCACCTAGAGGTGGAAGCGTTTTATTCAAATACTGTCAGTATTTAAAATTCTATTTAGGGAAGAAAATAAATACTTATCTCAAAATGGAAGTGGAATTTTATCCTATACGTGACTCAGAATGCAGCCAAAGAAATATCAAAAGTAGCCTCTTGTATCTTACATTACTATGAAGCACAGAAACTGAATTAAAAAAAAGAGGTAATGCCACTCTAAGAACACTGGCACCCATCTGTCACACTCTGCTTCCTCTCAATTGTAAGGTTTATTCTTAAACAAAAGAATGCTTGAGTTTTCCCCTCATATTTCATTCCAGAAGGCAGCCTTTTGGTTGAAACACAGGTACTAAACAGCCATTTTACCTTTAAAACTCTTTCTATACCCTTGGGATATTCAGACAGGATAGGTTACAGTTAATTCTCCATTTAGGCAGGAAGGCCACAGCAACCAATCAGTATAGTAAAACTCCATTGGTCCGGCATTCAATGCTCCGGCACCATCAGGAACCTGGAAGTGCTCTGGCTGCCGGACAATTGGAGCTGCTCTGCGCCCGGCTTCCCCGATTCAGCCGCTGCTGAAACTGACCAGCAACTGAATCGGAGCAGCTGGGGTGCTCTGCCTCGGGCATCCCGGAGTCAGACGCTAGTCAGTTTCAGCAGCGGCTGAATCAGAGACAGCTGGGGTGCTGCAGGGTTGGTCCCATAGTGCTGCCCCTTGGCGCAGCAGGACCAACCCGGCAGCACCCCAGCTGCTCTGTCCCAGGCGTCCCGGATTCAGCTGCTGCTGAAACTGACCAGCAGCGGCTGAATCGGGGACACCTGGGGCAGAGCTTGACTATCGGAAGGGGGGGGGCTATGAGGGGTCTGGGGTGGCGTCCCACCCCACCCTAGACCTCTCATAGCCCCCCCTTCCGATAGTCCGACATATCTGATAATCCAGCACCCCCTGGGTCCTAAAGGTGCCGGATTATCGGAAGTTTACTATAATAAGGATAGGTGTACATTAGAGAGCTTACAGCACTGCCTGCCACTGTACAATCTCATGTAGCTGCTCTATGCCAATGCTAGAGAGCTCTCCAGTACACATAATTAACCTGTCTCCGAAAAGCACCACATAGAAGTGTGCACTAGCACTTATGCCAGTGTAACATGTTGCTCAAGTGGAATGAATATTCATATCTCTGATAGAGATTTTAAAATGTGTTTAATTAAAAGTAACCATGTAACTGCTGAAATTTTCAGCAGTTACATGCAGAGTGGCAGGTAGCTCCCTGGGAGGCAGTGGGAATGGGTAGCTAGCTTTTAAGATGGCTTCCCCTGCGTACCAGGGGCCTGCATGTAACCGTGAAGGTTAACCAGTGAGCCCAGGCTCATTGGTTTAACAGTGTACAGAGTTACATTTTCACAACCCTAATCTGAGACACAAAAGCTTTGCCAACGTAAATGATGATAGCTAAAGAAACCTTTTACTGTACTTTCGTAGATTACTTTTGTAACAGTTTTATCTCCAGGATCCGTGTTCTTTCTAAAGCAACTGCTTCAGTAAACTGTTAATACTTTAAACTTGTGTAAGCAGCAACATTTTTACTGTAATAATAGCTTCAATTAATACCCACATGTAAATTAATGCCATGAGGGGAGGGATGTTTCATTCTGATTGACATATGGTGGATGGAAAGAAATAGAACATAAAATATCTGTTTCTACACCTCCGCTACGTCTAGACTACATCCCTTTTTTGTAAAAGGGCTATAAATTAGACGTATCGCAATTGCTAATGAAGCGGGGATTTAAATCTCCCCCGTTTCATTAGCATAAAAATGGCTGCTGCTTTTTTTCGGCACGGAGGTTTGTCGGAGAAAAGCGCCAGTTTAGATGCTGATCTTGTGGAAAATAAAGCCTTTTCCGAAAGATCCCTTATCCCTCTATGAAATAAGGGATAAGGGATCTGTCGGAAAAGGCTTTATTTTCCACAAGATCAGCATCTAAACTGGCGGCGAAGCTCCATGCCGAAAAAGAGCGGCAGCCATTTTTATGCTAATGAAGCAGGGGAGATTTAAATCCCCGCTTCATTAGCAATTGCGATACGTCTAATTTACATCCCTTTTACGAAAAAAGGATGTAGTCTAGATGTAGCCCTCATGTATACAAAGTCATGATGGATGGGAATTGTACATAGGAATCCCTAAGCCACAAAATACCAAATTAAACATATGGTGGACAATGAATAATATTAAGGAACTGCTGGATAAGCACAATGATTAAGATGCATTGGTTAAAGCCTCCAACTAAGGAAAGCAGAGGTAACTAGTCAGCAGAACTGAAATAAGACATAAGTTTGAAGTGGGTGAACTTCCCTGTCTAGGGAATGGATTCCCTTAAGAATACTTCCCATTATGGCTTTATCTCCATTCTTCTAAGCATTTTGACATCCTAGAACCATGGAGGAGAGTACTGGGCATCAACGTCCTAAGGAGGCTGACCTCCTGGAATCTTTCTTCTAGAAAAGCAAAAGAATAGAACTGTAGCCTAGCTCCGGAGACTTGAGTACGCTGGCATCTCTCTCTCAAGTTATTAATCTGATATGTTTTAGGGATATGGTGAACCAAAAGGACCACAGGCATATTAGAAATATTGAGATTTTTGAGGAAAAATTTAGGTATTTCTATCTTTAATAGGGGTTATCTGGGAGAGTAATTGATGCTAGGTAACTCTGAATTACTGATAAATTAGTGCTCTGATTACTTGCAAAAAATTTATAAAACACCATCCTCTGGAATAAGCACTCATGGTATTCATCATAAAAACTATTTTGAATTAATTAATAAAAAACACCCTGACATCAGAACATAAAAATGACCATAATTGTTTGTCTGATTTAGACACTGATTACTATCTTATGAATAAGAGATGGATAAAGTATTTTGCACTTTCAGTTCAGGCATGCCACTTTTATGGATAGAGGGAGAGACTTGTATTTTGAAAACATGCAGTAATGCATATGAAAAACTGTTTTCACCCATCTGTCCATAGTTATTTCAACCTTGCACTTCCAATACCATGACAGACCTCCTCCAACAGGGATGGGCTGGTGAATTTGGTGTCAGCCAATCAAAACAATTTATGGGGATTTATTTCAGAGATTATAGTGGGAGACTAACAAAATCTCATAATTGATTCTTCCCCTTACATCTTGAAAAAAAAAAAAGGAAATGAATAGACAAAAGCTTTGTATTGGAGGACATGCTCTTTCTGGTATTGTTACAAGTGGAAACCTTGTTTTCAGACCTCTTAGTTCAACAGATGCATTCACATCTAAACACACAGATGGTTATATTCAAAATACATTCGGAGAGCTGTAGCATAGCTTTGTAGTGACGTGTCTGCTTTGGGTGGTGGTGAGGTACTATCACAGAAGCTGTATAACAGGGGTGGGGAAACTCTTTTGGGTCAGGGACCACTGACCCACAGAAAGGAAAAAAAAACAGTCGGGGGCCGCACACAAGCGAAAAGCAAAAAATCAAAATCAAATCCTCACTGATGTGGCCCATGACTGACAAGGAGAAAGACAATTCCCACATTCCCCTCACACACCAGAGCCTTGGGAGGCACAGCCTAGTAGAGTCTGTGTGCTTCAGCTCCAGGGGGGATTGGCAGGGGTGTGTGTGCTGGAGTGTCAGTGCAGGTTCCCCAATGTTGAGGGGGGTGGCAATACCTGGGGGGCTGGATCAAGGCAAGCCAGGGGCTGCATCCGGCTCCCGGACCTAGGGGTTGCCAGGTTTCTGGTATTGTACTGACAGTCCGGTTTTTGCACGCTCTGTCTGGTAAAAATCAGAAAATACTGGACATGTGCAATGTCCGGTATTTTCTGATTTTTCCGACTGCACACTCGTCAGAAGCCTGGCGGGGGGAGCG